AAAGCATTAATTTCCTCCCATGGTATTTCAGTGAAAGATCAAGATTCAGCTTTTCGAGAATTTTACACGTTTTTTTTTCATTTTATTGAATTATATAAAATTTAATATTGATTTTTATATTAAACATTAAATATTGAAATTAAATTAAACATTGAACATTGACTATAGCCAAAATTCTACTATTTGAATTAGTACCAGCATTTTTTACTAATAAAATAGTCGTTTTCACCTTTAAATAGTTATTTTTTTACTACGTAAATAGTTAAATTTTGACTAATTTAAGATTAGTCACCATCTTTGACTATTTCTGAGAGTTAAAAGTAACTAATTTCTTTAATCGTTTGCGGCCAACAACAAAGTATTATTTTAATTAAATGTATATAGGCTCCATGGTTAAATGGCCCATACAAATTAACAAAATGCAAAAAGTTTAGCTCAAAACAGCAACCCAAATAATATATTCAACATTAAAATATTATGATCAATATTTATTGACAAATAAAATTGATTTTTATAAGAGTGACTGATAGCCACATTTATGCCAACAGTTTTACAAGCTTAACATAACCCCGGCTGGGTCAAAACTTTTTTAATTACTAATTTGACTATTTCATTCAATAGAATTTGACTAATTTTTAGTGACTGCTTGTTCGCTATGAGAATTAGTCAAATATGACTTACAATTAGTTATTTTTGACTAATTCATTTTAAAAAAATAGTTTAAAAAAAATCTGTCTCATTCTTTTTTTTGTTGCTTTCGTGTTCCGTTTCTCGTATAAGGGCCAGAAGCCGTGATACCGCCGCTCCATAGCCTTCATTTGCTGGTTAAAACGTTCTCCGTGCTCATCACTTAACTAAATAAACAATGATAAAAATACGTTGTTGAAATTTTAAAAAATAACAGTAAAATGTGACTAAACCAACACGAGAAACAAAAGAATTCACGTTTGCGGAGTCATGTCAAATATAAATTTTGAATAATGTTTTCGGTGAAAAAAGTACGTAAAAACTCAAAACATTCCCATCATGCACTTTAATTAGGTTTTTATTAAATAATAAACATAGGTATTACAAAATAAAAGAAAAAAACTAAAAATCGTCAAAAAGCTGAATTTTTCTCTTCCACTAAAAAATTTATAACTCCGCCATTTATGCATGGATTTTTAACATTAGCTTGTAAACTTTAACCTCAATTTTTGCCATAAAAACGGTTTTTTTAAGTAATCAAAATCGCTAGCATCAAAATAATTTTACGATATTAAATGTATGTAGAAGAAAGTTTTAGAGGGCTCAAATACCTTCAATTTAAGGGCTTGTTTGGCCAAATCGATAAATTAGATTTCAAGCTATACTCAAAAACGTCAAAACACTTCCAAAAATTGATAATTTATATCTCAAAAACGCTTACATAAAAAAAATTGAGTGTGGGTGAAAATACATGGGAAAACTATAATGGGATTAAGTAACATTTAAAGTATCTGAATCATTTTTAAAAGTAAATTAACTTAATAATGCGTAATTCGTATTAATAAGTCAGAGCAAACTTCGACTATCACTGAACGCTGGTGAAGGGTCTACTGCTGAATTACGAAAACCGTCTCTCGGCGTCTCCCACTCTTAAAAGTTATTCTTCCACTCTTAAAAACCGAATGCGGCCTGTCTACATGTAAAATGAAAGTACGGTATCGCTAAATATGTGGGTAGGACAAGCCTTAGCAAGATTCCCAGAGCAGAGGTGTATTAATAATTATTATCTACGCCAGTGAGATAAGAACTTCTTATCCCACTCATTTTGAGTGAGATAAGAAGTTCATTAACGCACGCGTTTTTCTCTGTTTTTAACCAATCAAATAAAAAAGTCAAAATGTCAAAATAACCCTAAATTAAGTCTTTGACAAAAATAATTACCGTTTATTTTTTCATTTAGAGGCGTAGATAAAAATTTGTACAGGGTAGTCCACGTAAGGTGACCCATATACTTATCTCAGAAACTACTGGAGTCACAAAAAATTTGTAAGAAACAAATGTACACGAAGTAAAAAATATTTTTAAAATATTATATTTTCATTTATACAGGGTGTTCGGTTTTCCTTGGGACGATACCAACTTTCTTATTTTCAATGGAACACCCTGTATTTTTTTGCATTTTTGGATTCTACCCACTCTTTTAGGTATACTTTGTAAATATATTAATTAAGAAAATATTAATACTTTTTGAGTAAAATTAAGATTTATTAAAATTTCTCTAAATGTAGACACTCGCTAAAAGTTAAAAATAACCAACTAAAAGTTATTATTTTTTATATTATGTAGTATCCATCTCTTTAATAATAAGTAAGCTATAAGTAAATTATTATATTTTTTGGAAAATATCATACAGAGTGTTTTCTATGTCCCGTTGAAAATAGCGATTTTAAAAGTTTAAAATCTTGTTTTTCTTCAATGGAACACCCTATATATTTTTGCATAATTGGATAGAATAAGTAATTACCTTTCATTTTATATATATATGTCCTATACCTAAACCTAACAGAAAAAAAAATATTCGCATTTTTCACAATTAGTAGCTTTTTTCCAACTACCTTAGTTAAATTTTCATTATTCAAATAAATAAATTTCAATAACAACAAATAAAAATGCTTTTATATATAAATATATATTACTATAATAATTACCATACGCGCAAAGCTAATTAATTTTGTAAAATGCAAATATTTTTTTTAGGTGATCCACGTAAGGTGACCCATATACTTATCTCAGAAACTACTGGAGTCACAAAAAAATTGTAAAAAACAAATATTCACGAAGTAAAAAATATTTTTAAAATATTATATTTTCATTTATACAGGGTGTTCGGTTTTCCTTGGGACGATACCAACTTTCTTATTTTCAATGGAACACCCTATATTTTTTTGCATTTTTGGATTCTACACACTCTTTTAGGTATACTTTGTAAATATATTAATTAAGAAAATGTTAATACTTTTTGAGTAAAATAAGGATTTATTAAAATTTCTCTAAATGTAGACATTCGCTAAAAGTTAAAAATAACCAACTAAAAGTTATTATTTTTTATATTATGTAGCATTCATCTCTTTAATAATAAGTAAGCTATAAGTTAATTAATTTATTTTTTGGAAAATATTATGCAGGGTGTTTTCTTTGAATAATGAAAATTTAACTAAGGTAATTGGAAAAAAGCCACTAATTGTGAAAAATGCGAATATTTTTTTTTCTGTTAGGTTTAGGTATAGGACATATATATATATATAAAATGAAAGGTAATTACTTATTCTATCCAATTATGCAAAAATATATAGGGTGTTCCATTGAAGAAAAACAAGATTTTAAACTTTTAAAATCGCTATTTTCAACGGGACATAGAAAACACTCTGTATGATATTTTCCAAAAAATATAATAATTTACTTATAGCTTACTTATTATTAAAGAGATGGATACTACATAATATAAAAAATAATAACTTTTAGTTGGTTATTTTTAACTTTTAGCGAGTGTCTACATTTAGAGAAATTTTAATAAATCTTAATTTTACTCAAAAAGTATTAATATTTTCTTAATTAATATATTTACAAAGTATACCTAAAAGAGTGGGTAGAATCCAAAAATGCAAAAAAATACAGGGTGTTCCATTGAAAATAAGAAAGTTGGTATCGTCCCAAGGAAAACCGAACACCCTGTATAAATGAAAATATAATATTTTAAAAATATTTTTTACTTCGTGAATATTTGTTCCTTACAAATTTTTTGTGACTCCAGTAGTTTCTGAGATAAGTATATGGGTCACCTTACGTGGACCACCCTGTACAATATACGTGTGATAACGCTTTATTAACGTACTTTTGCGATTGCCCAACTCGTGCTACGCACTCGTTGGGCAAATTTCGCATGCGTACGTTACTAAAGCTCTTATCCCACTTATATCGTAAATAACTATTATTTAGCAATTCTCTTAATGTACGAGGTGTGTTCAGAAAATATCGGGAATTTTCGTTTTTTGAAACAAATATTTATTTATTCGTCTACATTAATGTTGTCGCCTTCAAAATAGTCCCCATTGGATATTATGCACATGTGCCAGCTCTTCGTCCAATACTCGAAACACTGTTAAAACTCGATCTTTGGGATAGCCTTTAATTCTTTCAGCGATGCGCTTTTAATGTCATCTATGCTTGCAAAACGACGGCCCTTTAAGGTTCTCTTTATTTTTGGGAATAGGAAAGTCAGACAGAGGCATGTCTGGCGAATATGGAGGCTGGGGCATCATTACAGTATTGTTTTTGGCCAAAAATTTTGTTCAAAATTTAACAATTTTGGAACAAATTTTGCTGCCACGCGTTTCATACCCAAAACATTCGAAAAAATTTCATGGGATGAGCCAATCGATATACCAACATCATCAGCGACTTCTCTGATGGTTTATAACCATTTCTTCCACTTTTTCCATGTTTTTATTGGTTGTTAATGTGCTTGTGCGTTCGGGGCGTTCGTCATCTTCAACGTCTTCACGGCCATCTTGGAAACTCTTATAAGAGTTATAGAGTGGTATATATACCACTTGTAAACTCTTGTTTTACTTATAGCAGACTCACTATAGGCCTTTGTTAACATTTCACAGAATTTGTTTCATTTTTTAAGCAAAATTGGATACAAATTCTTTGATCCATTTCTTTTAACGAACGAAAATCGCCGAGCTCATAAAACACGTCTAACCTTAGCGGCTGCCACAGACAAAGTAAACAATGAAAACAGCTAACGTTTTTATCATACTTCGGGGGCATGTATACCAACATAATAAAATTTTTTTTATGACAACAGGACCCTCCGAACCCGCGAAATTTAACAATTCCCGTTATTTTCTGAACACACCTCGTATGAGGGCCCCTATATGATCGGGGCCCCCGAGCACCGCACCGAACTGCCCCTGACCCTGGCATAGCTAAAATATGTTTAAGACACTTTTACATCAATCTCTTCTTACCTGACAAAGGGGTAGGAAAACCTCGCCGATCGAGTCGTCCCTGGAGAAACGGTCGTAATCGAAGACGTGCAGGTGAAGGACGCGACTTTGCAGCTTCTGTATCGGGAACCCTTCGAAGTAGAACGTTTCGTTCCAACGCGGGTTCAACGTTCGACGTTTAATCTTCGTCTCCAATCGGTGCTTTTTGTCGGGCAACAACGTCACGCGCACGTAGGGGTCGCTCGTCCCAGACAGATCTTTTGCCGGCAATTCTTTACCCTAAAAAAAGTTATAAATGTCAAAGTGGCGTTTTAAATGTCAACGTTAGGGCCATATTTCGGGTCCATTGGTGAAGAACTACCCTGGTTTCTGGGCGAAAAGCTGAACAGGCTTTTTAAAGCCAAGTTTAAAAAGAGAGAATTTTGCTTTACGCCGGATGCTTTAAAACTTACCAACTTTTTTATTTTAAGTGTCCGAAAAAATTTCAAAGTGTGGTTATGTAGGTACTAAAAAATACTTTTTTCTACGTATAAAGACAATTGGAAAATTGATCAGTATACAGCACAGCAAACGGAAAAATATAGAACTGTATAGGATGACTCCGCGTTTGAATATTAAATCTTAAAGTTTTATCAGAACTGTATTGAATCGTGCTTTGTTTTTATATTTTTCGGCTCTATACCTATGCACGACTATATTTAAAGTCAAACTCAATGGTGTCTTACAAGATACATTGTTTTGATTTTTTATATTCAACAGAGAGGTAGAAACTCGACCCTGTCGAATGGTGCAGTCATTTATGTCTCTAGAAATTATTAAAAAAGGGTTCAGTCCAATGGTGCAGCAACTTCGGATTCCTATTCTCTTCAGAGACATAGAAACTCAAGCTTTTCGAATTTTACTGGCAATGATTTTCGTTAATGTCCCCGAGAATTATACAAAAACAGCGCAATGCAATATCGCAACGGTTTCGACTTCTCTTTACTCTACCAAGTTATAGAAACTGGAGTCTCCCTAATACTGTTCTAGTCAATATTTCTGAGAGTATAAAAAGAGGGTGTAATATATATTGCAAAAAGTTTTGATCTTTTGATGGATGCAAGTAGTTTGAATTTTCTCATTTCTGCATATGATTTTTTTTGAAAATAGTTCCTTTCTTTGGTTCCTTTGTCTGATTTTTATTTACCGTAACAACTCAGGTATGTAAAGCACAGAGAATATGATGTTAAGTACATATATTTGTATTAAAAATTTCAGAGGTTATGTTGTAAAAATGATCGATATGCTAAGTATTAAACTTTAATAATTTAGTAATGAGGTCTGTTGGTAGACCCTGCACTATCTCCACTGGTATATGTTAGTACAGCAATATTTAAATCTGGTTGATGAAAAAGTACACACCAGTGCAGGTTATTGTAGTATCTACGAACAAATGAATTAATGGCCCATTGGCAATTATTCCTTTAGGAAAAATATTCAACACAGCTTAATTAATTAATAAAATGAAAAAATCACAATCATGTCGTATATAGTTTTTTTTAAGCATAAAATAATTTTTATATTAATACTAGTTCAAAAGTGAAATTACGACCTCTATACTGTGGAGAGTATTGAAACGCTCGACTGACGAATACCAATCTATACCGTGGGGAGATTTAGAAAACCATATTCAAACGTGGCGTCATCCTATACACTTCTATAATTTTCCGTTTGCGTTTGGGAAAAACAAAAAGTTTTTTTTTTTCAATGGATCACCCTATATATGTATTTATTTTTCAATTCCTTGTAAAATTCTAAGCATATTTCATATAACATACTATACCTAAATTCAACCGTTTCTGAAATATTTAAATTATTTTTAAGATAATAAGTTGAAATAGTTTGTCTTTCTCTGTCTGAGTAGGCCATTTTAACTTATTTAACAAGACATATTAACATAATGTCACTATAATAATTTATTTTCAATACAAATTTTGGTATACTGAGGCTTCTTGATTTCTAACAGTTTAAAAAAACATTTAATGATAACATTTCGAATGCGAATATTTCAGAAACAGTTGCATTTAGGATATGGTTTGTTATATGAATTATGCTCAATTTTTAATTTTTTTTAATAGGTAGAAAAAAAGTATTTTTTAGTACCTACATAACCACACTTTTTGGGACACTTAAAATAAAAAAGTTAAAGGGGGGCGACATTATAGGGGATCACCCTGTACATGAAGAAATTCTTAACTGTTGAAATTAAGTTTTTATATTATTGGATTCGTCTCAAAAATTTGCGTTTAACTGTGCAAAAGTTTATAAACTTTAGTAAATTTAACGGTTTTTTTACTAAACTTTTAAGTTTTTCAGAACAAGTAGAGTAACCCAGTAAACACGTTTATGTAAATTTGACGTCAGGGTGATGTCATTCAATATCATGCTTTACATAAGATAATAATAATAATCATAACCTATTCATTTGGAAGACTCTTGAATAATATTAATCCATTAACAAAAACATTTTTTGTTGATTGTTCCCTATCATAATTTGTAACATAAAAATCGTTAATACTCCTAGTATTGTGATAATGGACAGTTTGTACCCAGTAAACACTTACACGTTTTTTAAACGTATTTAAAACGTGTGAATGGTCAATAAAACGTTTTACGTAGAAAAAGCAACGGTTTGATGTTGGTATAAATTTACACCAATTAATTTAAACGTTAAAACAACGTTAATTTAAATATACTTTTTAATAGTGCCTAACTTTTACGTTACAATAACGTTGTATTAAGGTGTTCAGTCAACCATATATTTAAATGTTTAATTTAAACGTTAAAACAACGTTAATTTAAATATGCTTTTAATAGGGCCTAACTTTTACGTTACAATAACGTTGTATTAAGGTGTTCAGTCAACCATACATTTAAATGTTTAATTTAAACGTTAAAACAACGTTAATTTAAATGTGCTTTTTAATAGTGGCTAAATTTTTGCTTAGTTTACACATGTAGAAAATATGACTTCTTATTTTAAAATCTGAAGGTATAAAATCTAAGAATTTTGTTCGTTAAAAAAATGAATTATGATTGAATGTTAAATGAATAATTTAACTTTCTCACTTTTTCAAAAGTATATTTTTATAACATTAATAAAACGGTTTTTGTCAAATACAAATAAACTTTTATCCACAACGTTTTTCTCTAAAATGGGATAACTTGTTTAAAAAGAATTTATAACGTTTAATATTTAATAAATTGGTGCAACATGTATACATACATAAACAATATGCATACGTACCTATATAAACAATATTAAATGAAATTTAGAAATTACATTCTAAAGAAAAGCATAAGTAATTCTATAGTCAGTGGTCATACAGTAAGCTTTAGGCAGAACACTATACTCATCCACAAATGTTGCTTTAAAAAGTGCATTATTTTATTAACATTCTTTAAACTAGACAGTTGCTGTAATTGATAAAAATAACGTACTTAATGGGTGATTCTCAAAATAACTACACTTTCGGTTTATTATAATAAAATATAATAAATATATTTTTTTAATACTAAAAAGTTTGGTAATATTATTACAAGAGCATTTTTGTAAAGCTTTAGTTAAATCCTAAACTAAAATAAGATTGATATTGCATGCAAACCTTAATTTTTATATTTATGGGTAAATTATGTCCACAGAAAAGACGTCCACTGAATGGACATCTATGTATATTATTCTCTATAAGAAAGGTAAATTTTAGATTATGCCTTCGCATTTGTCATGTGCCAAAAATAAAAACTTTGACAATAATAATGACAATAATTAGAAAATAATTCAATACTTACTGTTTGAAATATAATTGTAACAGAAAGGACAGCCTATGCTTCTACACTGGAGCCTCGTACATAAACATGAACGCTTCTTTACAACCTTTCAAAAAAGAACTGACAAGGGCGACTTAAATAACAAATGACAGGTTTTTTAATGACATAAAATTAACGGTTGTATAATCTGTGGGTTGACGTGAGTGGCGCGAAATACTTTTGAAATTTTGCACTTACAAATAAGTCCTCGGAATGGATCGAAACTGGTAACGTATAAATGACTAAACTACAATATTAAATTAAAAAGAATAAAAAGGAATATGAACCATATCTATGTATTTTTGGGGTATTTAAATAATAATGGCAATTTTTTAGGTTTTTTTAATATGCAGGCTTTTCACTACATTAACTGAAACTTACCAACACGATATAGTCCCGTTCCACGGAAAGGACAATATCTCTATTCAGATCAGTTTTTTGGGCGGTATTTTTTTTTCTTATTTTTTTTTACTTAAAGTACTGTTAGTTAACGTGTACTTTAAAAATGTTACTTATTTTTACCATTTTTTTTTAATATGGGAGAAAAAAACACACGTCACGCAAAGATTGTAGTTATTTTGAGAATAACCCTAATACGTTTAAACAAACGTACTTAATACGTTTAAACAAACCTACTTAATACGTTTAAACAAACGTATTTAATACGTTTAAACAAAGGTACTTAATACGTTTAAATAAACGTACTTAATACGTTTATATATGACCATATAAAACGCAATCTGATTGGCCGAATACACATCATGTGATTGGGCCTGCTAATGGCAATTTGATTTTGCTATCAAAAGGTGCATTTTGCTATCAAAAGGTGCATTTTTAAAAGTGTTTTCTGCTCGTATGATTCGTCCGGCTTTTTGTAAGTACTTTAATGTAATTGTTTTAAAATATACACACTGTTAATACCACGCAGATTCATTGTTTTATTTCCTAATTTTCGGGGGAGTGTGATTTTGTTCTTATTATAATTTGTGCAGCGTCCTAGAATAATATGAGAGTTAATATGTTAATTTTAAAGACGTTTTCTACGTGTTTCAATGTTTATTAAGTATTGTGGAGTAGGTAAATATTAACTCACACAAATTAACATTTAAGTTAAATTAACATTAAGTTAACATTAAACTGATTTAGATTAATCACAATAGTCATAAATGCACAGATGTTAAAATTGTGGAAAGAGTCCATTATAATAATAGTAACTGATAGGGTTTTTTGAAAAATTAGTCTATTTTTAATCGTTTAATAAATATTTTTTTTGTGTTTTAGAAGCAGCTATATTTTCCTGCGAACGATAAAAATGATTCACCTAAAGACGACTGGAGATACCTCCAAAACCTTTCCTTCATTTAAAAAAATCATTGTCTACAACCTTTAAACACCCTGTATTCATGTTGCAGATAACGTTAAACGAACGTTTA